GGAGATCAGTACGTGGTATGGATGGTAGGTTGTGCATATATATATATATATATATATATATATATATTTGGTAAGACAGTGATTATTGATTGCTCATTAATTTGGTGACTAAAAAATAATATATCGAGATTAATCTTAAAATTAATTTGCAGGTGGAATTCATTTTGTCTCATATGTAGCTAGTTTTCCCCTTTTTTAGCTCTTCATTTGACACTTGTATAAGTTATAATAGTAGTAGAAAATTAAGAAAAAGAAAAAGGCTTTGCTTCTTCTGACTGGATTACTTGAGTAAAAGAGAAGAAAAGAAGTGAAAAAGCATCTGCAATTAGAAATCTACTACTGTGCCTAACTAAGGTGTGAAAGGGTTCAATAATTATGCAGATACCCATTGAAATGTAATTAAGGAAGGCATTATAACTATGGAATAAGACTGGTGGCAATTAAGGTCTTTGAATGGATTCTGATTCTAATTAGTTTCGAAGCCTACCATAGTGGGGGCTTGACTTCAACATATGAGTCCCCTCTTTTACAGTGAGCAAGTGAAGGAAGGGAAGTTTCACTTTCTCCAATTGCTCGGCTTTTTATGGTCATCGAATCTTCTTCAACATTGCTTAACAATCCTTGAATCTTCTCCAATTATATATATCATTTGTATGAACGTTTTAGGTGTACCATAGATTACTCTATATATATATATATATATATATCTTTTGATTAATTAGAGGCGCTTAGCAAAACAACTCATACGATTATAATTCAATGGTAAATAGGAGAATCAATTGGATTTGAAAATTCTAATCAGTTCACATTAGTTACAGGTAAAATTCGAATCAATTGTCCTTTAAGGTGAGCAGTAAAATGATCGAAGACAAGTTGTGATAAAGACTGAACGTCCCTTTTGGTATGAGTGAATATCATCACTACACATATAGACCATCAATGCAAACTAAGTTTCTTTTTTCGATGGAAGAAGTTCGAGAAAACTTGATTGAACAACTTTGAAAGTTTTTGAGAGTATCATAAAGCTAATATATATATATATATATATATGAGATATTCCTATATCATCTATTTATTTAATTATTTATAAAAATGTAAAATTTAAAAGTATTAAAAGTGATTAATCATAATATTTTTATGAATTTTTAAATAAATAAATTTATTTTTAAATATATAAATTTTATTAATTTATTTAAATTTAATTTAAATCAATTAAAATTAAAATCAATGTTTATGTGAAATTAAATTATCTAAAATTTTAATGTCAAAAAATATTAAAAATAATTGATTAAATTTTTTTAGTAATTATTTTTATAAATTTTAATTTAAATGAATTTTTTATTAGACGACTCCTTTTTTATGATTAGACTCAAAAGTACAAAAAATATTGACAAAAATTCTCTGAATAAAATTTTAATTTCAAAAAGTTTAAATTGATTGATTAAAATACTATTAGTAAATTTTTTTTTATAAATTTTAATTTAAATGAATTTTTTATTATTAGACCCATTTTTTATATTAAGACTCATATTAATATCTAAAATATGATTTTTCATATCAAATAAAATACAATAGAATGAAATCAAAATTTATTAATATACATAGGAATAAGACAATTATATATATATATATGTATATATATGAAGTTTATTTCTCTAATTGTTGTAAAAACAATTGCACATGTAATTTACGTCGATAAATAAATTCATTAAAGGTAATTATAATTAAGTCATTAAAGCATTTTTTTTTCTATTTTTGCCTTTCAATTTTTTGTTCTAATTGATTTGTTAAATATATATGTATATTAATGATTTTATTCTTTGTATATTTTATGAATTAATCATTTGATTATTGATAACGTAATTAAATTTTTTAATCCCTTGAAATAATTTTTTAATATATATTATTTTTACAATTTAATTTGACTTCTATAATTAATTATTTTTTAAATTTTATAATTGTTATTCATATGAACAAAAATTAATATTATATTAAATGCAAATCAATTGCACACCTTCCAATAAAAATTAGAACTATGTGATTTGTTGAATCCTTTAAACACTTTAATTGGATATCCCATATGCAGAATTGGATGATTCGATAGGTGGTTGAACTGTCCTATTAAATTGATATAAAATTTGTTCACTTAGACTAAAATAATAAGGGATTTAATTTTTTCTCGATTTTTATCTTAATATGCATATATATATAATTAATTTCTACCTCAAGATAATTTAATCTTTTTCAATTATATTAAAATGAAAAATGTGTTTGCTTTGCATTGCATTGTTAAATACATGATATCAGAAATTTTATAAACAATTACTAAAAGTATATTATAACTTACCAAAATTATATTAAAAATTACCAAAATTACATTAAGATATTACTAAAATTTTATAAAAGATTACTAAAATTGGATCAATTGTTACCAAATAATACATAAGTTACTAAATAAATATAAAAAATTACCAAAATTGTTTCATAAGTTATCAAAATTTTACCAAAGATTATCAAACTTTCAATAAATGTTATTAAAATATATCAAAAGTTATTAAAATTAAAATTATATAAAGAGTTATCAAATTTACTTTTATTATACCAAAATTAAAATTAAATTATTGATATTTATCATTATTATTATAATATCTAAAAAATTATTTATTAAATAAAAAAAATTATACGTGTATCACTTACGTGTAAAAACTAATGTATATATAAGGATGAATATTATTTCTTCTTGCGTCTTGTAGTCGTGTGCATAAATCAACTTTTACTTGAGCTCTCAGAATATATTGGAACTTGAAAAGTTGAAATTAAGGCAATGCTGTTTCTAGTAAATAGTAAGTTATTTGGAAATATGATATTGTCCAATTTGCTCGAAAATAGGATGGTCTTTCTCACAGCCATAAACAACGAAAAAAGTGTCACTACAAGAAAAATGAAAGGTTAAGTGATAATTTATTAGTGATATTTTCACCTTACAAATGTCACTAGCTTTCCATATTTTTTATAAAAACTAAGATGTTTATTATTAAACCCACTAAATATTCAAAGTAGCAGTATTGTTACTTATAACGTCATCCCAAAACTTGATATTAGCGACGTTTTCGATTAAAATCCTTGAATAATTC